GGGGGGGGATATATCACAAATGAAAACATTTTTAGGGGTTTTTCTGCTATTAATCCATATTTGATAGTTAGTAGCTACAGTATCCTCTAATTCGTTGAAGTATCTTCGTTTTTGTTGGTGACCTGATTGTAAGTAGGCTCATTGTTCCACATGCTGTAGAACAATATGAGATATAGTGTTTTTTGGGATTTAGGGGTCATGCACTTGTGATTATATGGAAAGTCGAGCTGCCAGATAGAAATAAAATGGAATCAAATTTTGGTTACATCTAGATTTTTGTTTAACGTTTGGAGACAATTCCTGCTTTAAGAATTGAAGAAACCTTTGACATGTCAAGGAAGGATATGTCTTTTAAGTATCTTTATCAGTGCAATCAGATTTTCAAGCAACTTCATGCAGTCTAGATTATTCATTTTCTTATCCACGGAATAAAGATAGATATTAGTGATCTAGTGTAGGGAATGTGTCACTAACTGCTGGACTTTTTCTGTCCGCTTAGAGAAGCACAATGAACTTGTCCGAATAGAGTGAATGCAACTTTCATGGTTTCATCCGCTTGCCTGCATGCATGTTAGGTCTATTCTATCTATAGGTCGAGGGAGCTTTCATATACCAAGCCAACTGAAATGTCCAATTCTACCAAAACTGAATCTGTGGAAAGAGGGGGTTAGTCCTTGCAAGCATATTATATTTAGTTTTGTATTAACACCTAATGGAGTGGTTGCACAGGATACGCACAAACGTGCTGCAGAGAAAAAGACTTTACATCGAGGCAAAGAAGTTTTGTCATTTATCTGGTGTAAGGTTGTAATATGGACTTTGGGAACAAGGAATTTTCAGAGAGCATTTTCAGGAGACTAATCACGGGGGCATGCGCTGCAGGTTTTGGAATTATATATTTTCAAACCCATAACTCATTGCTATAGGGCCCAACCCAACTTTAAAATTGCCAAGACAATGGAAGAGAGTATGGCACGTGAAACTTAAATAATACTACAAAGTTGTCGCGCACAAAAAGATAGAAAGCACTGTTTATTTGTTTTTGGTGCATAGGGAAAGTAGAGTGATTTAAATAATGCAAAAGGCTAATTTGACCCAATATCCCTATTAACAGCATCCCACTTTCTGTTGTTTAAGTGGAATTCAACTTTTGATTTTAATGAACAAAAATAAGAGAAATCTTCATTACAACGATTCTCTTCGTTGCTGAAAGAAGGTCGTGTTAGTTTTAACAAATCCCTCTATGTACATATTCAACTTTTTGAAAAAAAGATTTATGAGAATGGAAGTTGGTTGTAGTGGGTCCGACAAAAGATTATGAAGTGGTTGTCACCACTGTCAAACAGGGAAAAGAGTAATTTATTGTATTGAGTATTCCTTTTTTTCTATTGGCAGATGTGATGAGAAGGCGTGGCTTAAATTGTTTTCTCCAAATGCTTGAGTGGAAATCATTTTTATGCTGACACCATCATCACACCCTTCTAACTCTGCCAGGTTCCAAATTCCCAACTCCTTTTCACCTTTTAAATCCATTGCTTGTCATCATTTTGTGCTCTTTTTTCCCCTATTTTTCCAAGAAAAAGGCTTCCACCACGTGATTATCTTCCTCCTCTAGTCATATATGGTCATTTTTGGGAAGTATTTATAAATGGTTTAAATTATAAATAGATGGAAAAAAGTGTGCGATACTTGTGAATTTCTCAAAATATGTAAATAATAAATGACTTGAATGTTTGAATTATTTAAGGAGTGTTTTATCTAGACATATACTAAGAGGCGTGAGATGATCATTGTAAATTTTTCTTCTTGAAAACTCATAGTGGCGACTATACCTAACTCCATCATTAACATTGAGAACCAACCATTAGGAATTCGTGTGTTTGTTTGTGCATTCTTGATTTCATACTACTTAATATTGTTCTCGTAATTAAGATTAAGATACAATATAATACATATCATAAATATGGAACACAATCCATATGTTAATGGTAAAACTCGAAAAAGCGAGTTGTATATTCGTTCGCTACCCATCTTTCTCCATACCAGGTCCCACAACATTAACAAATTGGGGTGCAGGTAGGGAATGGTTCCACTGGATATTTATTTAGCTAACTGAAAGCAATTAGCATTAGAAAAAGTTCATTAGCTTTACTGTAGATTCAACTAAAATAACAGGTGAATGAACAGTGGAAGCAAAATTTGACTTCTTTTAATTGCAGACATTGTTTCCTTGAAATTGCTATGCAAAATTTCTAACACGGACCCCGTTGCTCGATTTAATTGATAAATTGACAATTCATATTGATGACATGTTGTGAAAGCACTTTTCGTTAAATTCTTGATTGAAATTTTCCATTGACATTAGGACTTCTCATTAAGAGGGTGTTTGGTGGTGATTGAAATTAAATTTTTATTAGATTGTGATAAAAAATTTTGAAATGTGTGCTAGAAAAGTTGTGTGATCCATAAAAGATGTGGTTAATATTGATTATTTGACTTTAACTTTAATTAAAATCAGATTTTAATTCGAATCAAATAGAGGCTAAATATTATGATAGTACTGGTGTTGTATTTTGGACTTTTAAGGCCAAAAATTTGAATGAGAGCATTGTCCAAAATTGTTCATTCTTGTTGGACCGTCATAATTCATGCATAGAGAGTGCACCGTTATAAATCTCTGTGCAATTTGTTTGTAGGGTTTCCCTCAGTAACAGAGCATATTTGTCCATTTCCTCAAGTAATTCAAATATGTAGAATATCCATCTAATCAAGCAGTGAACTTTTCAGAAAATGCCTTTTGCTCTGGATATAGTACGTGTGAGAGAGAGAGAGAGTGTGTGTGTGTGATGCTTGAGTGTGAAGAAAAGACATTGTGAAACAAACATACAAGAAGTTGAGCTATACCTATACGTATTAATTATTGCATTGTATATGTAGCAAAAACGTAGGATTCTATTTTGAATAATTCTCCTTGTATAACACTTGGTTACAATATTGGATGACAATCTCTCACAAAAAGGGTGCAAACATTTCCTTTTTGAAAATATCTACTTGTACATCACAAGATGTACACAAGGGTCTACACTCCCCCTCACATGGGGTGGGACCCACTTGCATAAAAACAAAGAATGAACACAAATTCTGATTAATGTACTTCACTCCTTTTAGAAAGCTCCAATGAAAATTTTTATTTTCTTGAGAGAATAAACAAACTGGTCTTTTCTTAGGGTGCAATAATTACCCTACTTGCTATATGCACCAGTTTTCTGATAAAAGATAATATTCCTGCAAACTGCAAAGCTTTTTCTATGGAACAGAGATTTACCATCTACGCTTCTTCTTGGCACTGTGCTATTGTCAAGTTTTGGGAAATTTTACTTTTGGTATGAAACCAAGAACAAGAAAACAGTGGGACAGGGACCACCTGTATATTTAGAGAACTGTTAGCATGTAACAGATAATAGAATTAGACACTATTTTAATTTTTTTCTTTAATAATTTGATATAATCTTGTGCTTTGGATGCTGTCAAGTACATATCAATCTACCGAACCCAGCTCATAAAGAACCAACAGGATAAGTCAGCAGAAGTACATATACACAGAGAGGGCTTAGTCATTCGGGATAAAAATACCTTTACTCTTTCAAATCCACACCAGACTCCAGAGTCTCTAAAACTAGAAAAGTTAATACAATAATGACAATAAAAGAAGGGCGAGTCTTTTCTATAATGCTCCCCAACTGAGTAACATTTTAGCTGCCTCAACTCTATATATTTCTTTCAGTACTCTTAAATTTATCTGCTCCATATACTGAAATCAAAGTCATGGCATCTTTACAATGTACAACCATGGCATTGGCCATAGCTTTAGCTTTACTACTACAAGTATGCTGTTTTACCAAAGTGCAGTCTTACTCTACTTTGTCATCAGCTGAAAAAATCACTCAATTACCTGGGCAGCCTCAAGTGACTTTCCAGCAGTTTGCTGGTTATGTGACTGTTGATCAGAAGAAACAGAGAGCCCTCTTTTATTATTTTGTGGAAGCTGAAGTTGACCCTGCTTCTAAACCTCTTGTCCTCTGGTTAAATGGAGGTCAAATTCGCACACGTTGTTTTCCACTGGTAATCTTGAGAGTATTTTTCTGAAGTTTTTGAGGATTCTTGATTGCAGGGCCTGGTTGTTCATCATTGGGGGTTGGAGCATTTTCTGAAAATGGGCCATTTAGGCCAAGTGGGAATGTGCTAGTCAGGAATGAATATAGCTGGAATAGAGGTCCTTTACTGGTCTATTTTGTGAATTTTCATATTTTCAAGATCACTTAGAAAAGGTGATTAATATTCTGCTCCCAAAATTCTTGATTTGCAGAAGCAAATATACTGTATTTGGAATCTCCAATTGGAGTGGGATTCTCTTTTTCTACTGATTCTTCCACTTATGAAGGTGTAAATGACAAAATCACAGGCATGTTTCTCCACTCTTGAGCTTGCTAAAGAAGTTTTCAATCCTTCGATTTTTTTGTTTTTTTTTCCCTTTCTAGGATGACATGGTAAGTAACCATTTTGAAGGAAAAAGGAAAAAAGAAAAAAGAAAAAAAAAAGTACTATCTTTCTTTCTGAATTCTTTATATGACCTTTCCGCCACATATTTAAAAGCAAAGAATTCCTTAACGGAGTAGTAACTAGTAAGCTTCTGCTTTTTGAGCCATGTTCTATTTACTGTTTTTGTTTTCATTTTGGACATGGGATAAGAGTCTGACTTTAGATGTCTGTGTTTATATCTATACAGCCAGGGACAACTTGGTGTTCTTGCAAAAATGGTTCCTCAAATTCCCACAGTACAGAAATAGAAGCTTGTATATCACTGGAGAAAGCTATGCTGGTATGTTTCTTGGTGTCTGAAATTTTCAATTCTTATTAATTGAATGAAATTTATGAAGAGATAAATCCTGAAGATGCTTATTGTATATCACTAGGCCACTATATTCCCCAACTAGCAGAGATTATGCTCCAATTCAACAAGAAAGAGAATTTGTTCAACTTGAAAGGAATTGCTGTAAGTTTCCTAATCTTTAAAAGAAAAATTATTTGCATTTAAAGACGCAACTTAAAAAAGAAAAAGAAAAGTTAGTTCGAGATCATTTTCCACACAGGTTTATGGTAGAAGGATGAAAACGCTATTGCTATGTACTTTGTGTTCTTGATTGTTCATAAAAGTAACTTAACAAATCATGTTTGGCGAAAAAAGCAAGATAGACTTATTTTTAAGCACAACCAAACATGCTCAAGTCAATTGTACAAGGAAGATATTTCCAAGTTTCTCGTATATTTTGTTTGCTATATCTTTTGCTGTGGTTTAAACTCTTGGATTGTGTTGTGAATGCAGCTAGGCAATCCGGTATTAGAATTTGCAACAGATTTTAACTCAAGAGCTGAGTATTTCTGGTCTCATGGATTGATATCGGATACAACATACAAATTATTCACGTCTACTTGCAATTATTCACGATACGTTAGTGAATACTATAGAGGCACTATATCACCAGTATGTTCCAGGGTAATGAACCTTGTTACAACGGAAACTAGTAAATTTGTTGACAAATATGATGTTACTCTCGATGTCTGTATATCGTCCGTGCTCTCACAATCCAAAATTCTTAGTCCTAAGGTATAGTCCTTTCATTTAACTACAATACTATTCGTTTTGCTCACTGTTTTCCTTGGTTTTAACTCAATAACTTGTTTCATTTCGAGCTGCAGCAAGTAACAGAGACTATAGATGTCTGTGTGGAGGATGAAACTGTAAATTACTTGAATAGACGAGATGTTCAAAAGGCTCTCCATGCACATCTTGTAGGAGTCAACCGATGGCTTATTTGTAGCAAGTAATTCTCCATCACAGACTTAATTTTACAGAACTTGTGTGTGATTGCATGAAATTAGGAAATTGAACTTCGAATAAAAAAAGCCATGTTCAAAATTAATAACTTTTCAATCGAATGTCCAATGCTAAATTATCCTTTTTCTGATGATGTGATTCAGTGTATTAGATTATGAGCTGCTTGATCTAGAAATTCCTACAATCCCTATTGTGGGTAGAATCATCAAAGCAGGAATTCCAGTTTTGGTGTACAGGTAAGGCTGGGAACTTGGGGTCTTACATTCAGGAATCAATTATTCAGTTTATTCTAGTAACAACAATCTGCTGCTTTCTGATTACAGTGGAGATCAAGATTCTGTCATACCTTTAACTGGAAGTCGAACACTGGTTCATAGGCTGGCAGAAGAATTACGACTAAGAACAAGTACACAATATAGAGTATGGTTTTCTGGGATGCAGGTAATCTGTCTTCAAATAATTATCGTGAAATACAGGAAGTAGGCGCTGCTTTATTGTTGAAGAAAGAAACTGTCAAGAACTTCATTTAATTATCATAAAGGGAATTTCATCCTAAAAATATTGATTTATATATATTTCTGTTTTCTTTCAGGTTGGTGGCTGGACTCAAGTCTATGGCAATATCCTTTCGTTCGCCACGATCAGAGGGGCGTCTCATGAAGCTCCATTCTCTCAGCCAGAGAGATCCCTTGTGTTATTCAAGGCATTTTTGGAAGGCAGGCCTCTACCAGAAGCTTTCTGATCTAATGATCAGTTCAGTGTAATGCAAATAAGATTGAGATTGCCACAAAATTCTTTGGCACATGCCACCGTTAATCTCTCCAGTATAAATATTGCATTTGTTCATTGTTTTGATTGCTCCTCCATGAGAATGTTGAGATCAAAAATTTTGTGAAAAAATATGATAAACGAAAAAAAAAAAAAGAAGGAATGTGATGCTTAATGCACGATCTATTTTACTGTAAATTCCATTTTAGCATTTACAGATATACTGATCAAGAATTAAAAGCAAAGCACAGAAAATTCAGAAATGCAGGAGACAACTTTATGCGGTTCAGCAAATCACTTAAGCTCCCTGAAAAATCACATATAACCAAGAAAATGAAAATAATTCTTGAAATACTACGTAATTAATTATGTATATATCAAACACAAAAAGAAGAACAAAGTTACTGACTCCAATAATTGCTCTTCTTTTTTGTAACTGAAATATAACAAAAACCATGCCCACCATTAATTCTAACTCAAGAAATTTTGATTTCAAAACCCCCCATAGAAAATGAGAGCTACAACACGGGAAGGTGAAGATTGGGTAGTTCACAAATAGCATTCTCCCATTTTCTTCATTGTGTTGATAGATCTTACAGTTGCATTGTTATCATACGTTATCTTGGATTGTATAATTGGTGAAAAATTCCTAATTATGCATGTTTGATAATAGTTATTGATTTAAATTCCGTGAATGTGCTGAAGATAACTGCACTTCAAACACCTAGCTTATAAGCATCAGTTTATACTAAAATTAGTCACTGTAGATGGTTGTGATCACTCTACTGGGTTATCTTCTTATTGGGATTGTTTATGTTTTGTGACTCAAATTCCACATGAATTGAAAGTTTAATTCATGGAGGAAGTCTAGATAATGTTGGTTTAGAAGTCTGGTTTTATAAGAGATCAAATTTCATCATGAATTGAGAGTTTGATAGGGATAACGGCTTTGGGATGGTTGTAAAGGTATTTTGTAAGTATTAAGACGGAGCCGGGGCACCTAAAAGTGGCGCCGCAATTCAGGCGGTGCAAAAAGGCAGCAGAAAGGCCGGAATTTCATCTCCGTTTGATTTTTGACGTAGTTTTGTATTCTACTTCATCCATAATTCCAAGATTTGACTTACATAAATACTCCACAATGTGTAGACTCTTCATAAATTTAAGAGAGATTCAAGATAACAATTAGATCATTGTTTTATATATTAGAAATTTGAGAGAATTGTTTACATTTATATTGAGAGAATCAAATCTTGTAAAAACAATTTTAATTTCTTGGTATAATAAATTTTCCTCCTCTTTCACAATAATCTTGTTTTTTGTGTGATCCATTATTTTCTTATTGTCCATATTTTCTTATCTTTAATTATTTGGTCGGGTTCTGAACAAAGTGGTATCAAAGCGATTCTGGCATCTTGGTTGGTTCATGATAGGGACGTTTCGAAATATGTTGTGGCAGATCAATTAGAAAATTTTCCTACTAGTTCAATATGTAGATTTCAAGCTTGATTCAATTTCCTTTTAAAAATATTATAGCAAATTATGTCGCATTCAATTTTAAAATTGAATGTCTATGTTGTATATATATGTGTGTGTGTGGCAATACTTGGGGGACTTCTCATGCCAATTGGGGTGTAAATATGTGGATCTAGTTCAAATGATAGTAGCCGACTTAAAATTTGATAAGAGGAGGGATGATGTCAAAATTCAGTAGATTGATGTTTACATGGCCCCAGTATGTATTACAAACAATAGCTCCCCTCTTTTCTACAAGGAGATAAAACGTATGGATACTCATGTTTCTATTTACGCACTAATGTTGAGGTTACACACTTGTTCACTGAAAGTACATCAGTCCAAATACAAAATGCATCGACAATTGGAAAGATATAATTCGATACATATTTTAAAACAATATCCTATCTCGTACTAAAAATTGAGGATGAAGGCCTGTAATGAAGACATAAGAAGGCCCGTAATGAAGGCAGATAACATAAATAAAGGGAACAATACATAAATTCTATATATAAGAATTAGATTTTCAAAAATAACAAATTTCAAAAATCTGTTCAAAAATCAGATGTTAAATCAATTAATTAAATATTTTTAATTATAATATAATACAATTACCCCAATTTATTAAATTTTAAATCCAAATCATTTTCTCTCTTTACTTTCTATCCTCTCTCTACCCCTTCTCTCCATCGGTTCTGGCGATCTCTCTGGCGGCTGCTCCAACGACAGTTCCGGCGATCTCTTCGGCGGCCGCTCTGGTGACAGTTCCGACGGCCTCTCCGACGACTATTCCGATGATCACCCCGACGCTCTCTCCAGCGACTATTCACGACCCTCTGGCAAACTGTTCCAATGATCACTCCAACGCATGCTCCGATCAACCTACCCACCCCATCCACCCATTCCCAACTTCCAAAATTTTTTCAGAATTTCAAGTCACAATCGATCATAATTGGTCACAACGAGTCATAATTAACCAGTCGCAAACGATCACAATCAGTCACAAACGGTCACAACAAACTATCCGGCAGTCAAATCGCGATCGGTCATAGAACAGAAAAGGTTCGCCGACACCACCAACTCTGGTTGCAACCTTCTTACTCTGCGGCGACGCCAACTATGCCTCCACCACCACCACCACATCAATCACAAAACACCACACCAAAATATTCAACATTTTTGTCCAATCCTTGACCCCTGACAAAATAATTTGCATGAGTAGCGACAGAAGCTCAAGGGATTGCAATTGCTGGCATCATTGCTACCTCATTTGGTTGACCACATTTTTTGGACTTTTCTCTTGAAGCATAATTGTTGTTGTTGACCTCGAAATATAGCTCCGACACGTGGCCAACAAAAAATGTCTTCAAGTCAGCTCTTCCTACACACGTGACACGTCATTAGTTACTCGTGGCCTTTCCCGAAGGGATTGGGAGTGACCGCAAGCACTCCTACGGTCAAGTCAGTTTGAAGTTCAACCGAAAAAGAGTTCACCGATGGTGGAACACTCACCGGGAAGTGGTTGACAAAGTGTATGTCAAAAAATAATAATATTTGAGGGAAGAAAATACTTAATTTCACAATGTAGTACTAGTTTGGAGAGTGTTGGATTTCAATCCTTCTTCAGGCATAAGGGGGGAGTATTTATACCAAGGATGGGGAGGGGAGAGCCGTTGGATGAGGAGACACGCGTTGCCAAATCTCCAGAGTTTGTCCCATCTTAGGTACCAATCCATCCCTCCATAGGCTGGCTCGCATTGAATGTTTCTGACAAGAGCAACTGATTTGACCATTTGAGTCCTGCCACGCGTCCCATCAGTCAGCGATTTGACTTTGGGAAGATCTTTATACAAGAGATATTTGAGGCGTTGCAGCGTTACAGCGTTACAGAAGCGGATTGTGGACCTTTGCATCCGTGATATGTTGGTGGATGAGTCAGGTTCGTTCGTTAGCGCCTATTCAGTTCGTCCTTCACGTAATCACTTCGGTGTGTGCACTCAGATCGTCCTATGGGGTAATCACCTCGGCCAACGCGTGTTACGCTAGGGTAACCTCTACCGACACGTGGCGTCGAGGTGGAGGGTTTGACACCGACCCGTAACAGTTGTTAGTGCAAACTATTGATCCATTGCGCACACATAAAACCCGGAATACAGCCAGGAAGAAGACACAAGTGAAGAATACCACCAACATCTTACAACCCGACATCGCATCACCATCTCATCCAAATCTAACATCTGCATCACCAACGGCGTGCCACCGGCAACTAGAAGTGGCGCGTGACTGACTATTGCTTGCAGCAGCGAGCTAAAGTGGGGAGAGGCGATTGACGATTGCTTGCAGCAAAGATGTCGACGGCGGACTGACGAGCAGCATAAGTGCCTCCAACCCGATGAGAAGCTTCGTCGCACCAATAATTTTAAAGATGAAGGTGAGTGTGTGGTGGGTAGAGAGAGAAGGGGGAGACAGAAAACGAGAATAGGGGTGAGGGTTTGGTGGTGACTGGTGAGAAAAGACGAAAGAGAATGATTAGGGGGAAGAAATTTGAAATGAGGTGGGTGGGGGTGAATAGGTAAATTAGGTTTAATTAAATTAATTATTAAAACCTAATTAACACCTGATTTTTGAAATAAAAATTAGTCCACCTGATTTTTGAAAATGAAACTTTAGAAATAGGTTTCTATGTAATTTTCTCATAAATAAATTACATGAATTACAACAATAATTATGTGTGGATTTAAGATGACATACTATGGAACATGGTATTATATATTTAGGTCTGTTTGAGCCTAATTTTTTTTTTTATGTAGAATGCATTTTGAAATAATAGATTGATGAAGAATATATGATTAAAAATGAAGGAATTTTTTTTTTTGAATTGTATGTAATATTATTTCATTGAAGAATGTTTGGTTGAAAAGAAAATACAAAATGTATTTTAAGAAAAATGAAGTTCGTGTTTTGAACTCGTTTAAGCACCGGGCCGCTCCTGACCTAGACGGATGGACATGACTGGGGAGATACGCCTTAATTTAGAATCATGCTAATGTATAATATTGGTTGACAACATCCTATTTGCATCAACATATTCATCCATGTTTAAAACTTGAAATTACGTAGAAACGGATATTTTTAGTTACAATTTCAAAAATCAGATGATAATGTAATAATAATAATAATATTATTATTATTATTATAAAATTAAATTAATTTACCCTACCTCATTTTCCCAAACCTTAAATTTTCACTCTCTCTAGATATCATCTCTCTCGTCTTTTTCACCTGCACCGGCATGGTACCAACGCTCACTGTGGCGAAAGTTGCTCGTCGTTGTAGAGCCGATCTACTAGAGTTTTGCTTTGTTAGGGGGTTTGATTGCAGTGTCGCCTCGATCCGATCTAGAGTTTTGTTTTGTACGGTGGTTTGAGCGCCGCCTTGTTCCCGTTCTAATGGAGTGGGTGG